TACCTCAAGGGAGGCAGTGAGGAGGAGGGGGCTGGCCTCTTTTCAGTGGTGGACAGTGATAGGACTAGAGGAAATGGCTTGAAACTGAAGCATCGGAAGTTCCACAGGAACTTAAGGAAGCATTTCTTCACTGTGAGGGTGACAAAGCACTGGCACAGGCTGCCCAGAGAGGTTGTGGAGTCTCCTTCTTTGGAGATCTTCCAAACCCGCTTGGATGCCGCCCTGTGCCACATGCTCTAGGTGACCGTGCGTGTGCAGGGGGGTTGAACTCGATGACCTSTGAGGTCCCTTCCAACCTTCGGCATTCTATGATTCTATGATTCTATGATATTTAAGAATTGGAATTAGACAAGCTGACTTAAGGATGCTTTAGATGTAACTGTATGTTAGCATTGAGATGAGGTGTCTGGCATTTCTGCACCTGCTCTACCTCATCAATTCTGAACATTGTTCTAAAAGAAATTGTCCAACCGCCCAGAAGGGTTTTTCTGGTTTTTGTTGGTTTTTTTTCTTTTGTTTTTGTTTTGTTTTTTAATGCACCTTATAGGAGCTTTCACAGCACTTGTCATGCCCATTAGTGTTAAACTCTTGACCAGTGTTGAAAGAGATCTTGACCTATTCTACCAAGCCAGAAATGAGATTGGGGGCATAGTAGAAATGAGGCAAATACTGTATCTTCCTGCTTAAAAAATCATTGAAGCACCAAAGGTTGTGGTGGAATCCCCAATCAAAACAATAATTAGTAAGGAAATGCTGTTGGACTGTCTTTATATGACTTTTGTTATGTAAAGTTATTTAACATGTGTGGCCCAACCTACTTTTTGCTAAATCATGGKTTTTGAATCTCTTTTGTATATGTTTGCGTCAAAGGAGTTCTTGGATACAAGTGATCTGCTCCATGCAGAAACAATCCAAGATTTTTTTTAACATTTATTTCAGTATGCTACCTTGAAACTTTTTGTGATGCCTCTACTCATGCTGTCTGAGTGATCACGGCTGTTTTCAGGTTTAGGTACTAAATTATCCAGAAGTGGCAAGAAATATTTGGGGTTTAGGGCTCATCCATGTTTCCGTCTCTCATAAGGCCACATGGTGCTTGTTTGAATGGAATTATCATGCAGGCTGTCAGGCTGTTCTGCTTTTAAAGTATGTAACAAATATAGAAGTTACCAGTTGTTTTTTCAAAGTAGTCTGAGGAAATTTCATCCTCATTTTTGTCTGAATATAAAATGGTATTATTTTGATTTAGGGTTCTAGGTCAATTTAATTTTCTTAAAAACAGAAGCAAAAGATTATTGAAAACGATATACCCTTCTGTTTACAAAAATATATATATATWTTTTTTTTCTTTTTCCATTAATTCCAGTGCAGATAAAAGTCAATTTTCAGGTTGATTTGGCAAACTGCTCAGGAGAGAGAGGATCATCTTTTTGTTGATATGGTTCATGTGTGTGATTAGCTCATCAAAAGGCATTTTCTTAATTTATGTGTTGATAAATTTCAACAGATCCTGATCAAAACTCATTTGGAAGGATTCTGACTGTGGGCAAGTCTTCAGACTGATCTGAGAATGGCTCAATAGACATTATTTGAGACTATAGATATCTGGAGACAAAGCTGCAGTTGACCATGCATTTGGAAAGGTTACTGAATTGCTATCATAAGGTAACAATATGAGATAACCTGACCTAAGTTTGAACCAGTAATTTAGCTCCGTATCCAGCTGGAGCCCCCAGACCTAATCCAGCCTCATTTTGCTGTCTCACGTTGCTTAGATTTTAGGACAAGTGGCATCTGGGCTCAGAAAACGTGCCTCCTTGCTTCTTATCCCTGTACATCAAGCCTTTTGGCCTCTAGTTATCTTGCTCCTCCAGTAGATGATGGCTTAACTACAGCTTGCAGTGGGGCTGAAGCCGCTTCTCATTGATGCTTGTGTCTCTGTGAAAATCATGTGGAGGAGGGGAGGGAAGGGAACGAGTTTACACAGCTTTTTATCTCTATTGGATCCCTCTCAGCAAGGGGAGGAGGTGAAAAGCAACGACCTGAGCATAGAGAACGCTGTGGCCGTCTTGCATCATAATTATTTCATTTCGGAGGGGAAGTTGGGAGCAGCAGCAGCAATAAAAGCGGCCGTTTCCGCCTTGCCTTTCAGAGCAACATCTGTGGGCATCTGTCTGCATCATGATACTCCATTGCATGCGTCTCCTGCCCTTGCTGCTGCTCGGGTTGTGCTGGCCGGATTCGGAGAAACGCGTCGTGGGAGCTGCGAAGATCAGGGAGTTCTATATCGCTGCCCAGGTCACTAGCTGGACCTACAAGCCACAGACTGAGGAAAAGTCCAGGTAACAAAGTTCAAGATAAGGAGGATGAAACGTGTCCTCTCTTGTGACAGAAAGTGTTTTCTGAGTTTCCTGAGGCATTTGAGAGCCCAGGAGGACTTTAGAGCCTGATCTGTTGACTTCAGAGGAACTGGGTATCTTTAAACAGCATGATCTGAACTGCAGCCAATGAAGTATTAAAAGCTTCTTTTTAGTGACTTGATTAGTTCTCAATATTATTTTTGTTTTCAGAGATGTTTTGTTCAATATATTCCAGGACTTGCTTTTATAATAATCTGTGTGGGTTTTTTTCTGGTTTTGTTTGTTTGTTTTTTGAGTGTCATTATTTTGAGACACATGAATTTTGAGCAATGTTAAGTCGAACCTTGGTTTGSTAGGATTTCGGAAACTTTTCAGATTCTGATACTTGACTGAAGGCATAAATGGCTTCTAATTTGGATGCCATCACTTTCACTTTGGAGCCTGATGAACTTTGGAATTGGCTGCTGCTGTTGCTGAGTTGTTCAGTAGTTTTTGTAATTTTTTTTCCTGAGTTTGCCTGAGCAAAGGTTGTAGGATCAAGCATTGCTGTACTGTAATAATTGCAAATATTTTTAGATAGCGCTGCAGAATGGCCAGCCTGCATTCACACAGCAAGCAAGCATACAAAGTATGTTCTTGTACAACCGATATGATGCTTAACATTATAAACACTGAACGTGCAATGCCAGGCATGGCAAACCTTTGATCTAATTTAGGATTTTGTTTAAATTAGACTGGGAGCTCGCAGCTGAGGCTATGTTCACTATAGTCCCCATAGACAGCTTTTTTTTTGTTTTTACTTTTTATTTACTGCACATCATAGGACTTTGGGCAGGTTGCTTAACTTTTCTGAGCCTCAGTCTTTTTGTCTTCAGAGAGGTTTATTGCTTACCATGTGTAAGTGATATTTATAATACATTTTTACTTTGAAATGCCTTATTTGTGCATACACTGCTGCTAATCCCAGGACTGAAGGTTATGTAACCAGACCTGATCCTGTAGTTGGAGATTTTTGAAGTGCTAGTAACTTAAGTATTCACTTCCTATGGCCCTATAATTGGCATTGATAAATTTCCACCTTAGTCTGATGTGCATTGAACATTGATGTATTCAGACAGGATTACGTATCACACCCTTTTCCTTAAGAGTAAAATCAAATCTTGTTGATGCTGTCAAAGAGAGCAGAATGAACGGAAACAGATACTGCTTCTGCTATACTTGTTAGTTTGAGTGTCACTAAGGGATTTATAACTTTGCAAAATGAGATTATCTCCTTACGGATCCCGAATGTCACTGTGAAGGAGCCTCTTCACCAAAGAGAGTCTCTCTGTCCTTGTCCAGTCTATACACTCTATACACTTCCCACTTTCAAATATGTACCTTGTTTAATTGAAAAGGCAATAAATATTAAAAAAAAAAAAAAAAAAAGACTTGCTGTTAGATCTAGCAATAGGAAATACTAAGGAAATAACCAAGGTATGTGAAAATAAATACATGCCATCCTCCCTCCAGCCCTCATTTCTTTATTATTTCCATTTCAAACATGTTGCATGCTGTTTTTCTTCTGCTTGTCTTTGTGATTTCCAAAATACAGTGGTCTAGTCTGCTTGTGTGTGTGTGCCCATGTGCAAGAGAGAGACAGGGATGTGTAATAAGTCTAAGGACTAATGCCATGTTTCTCGGAAAGTGATTTTCTGACTTGCTGTGGGTGCCTTAAATGTTGTCAGGAAAGTTTTGTGTTTGTCTTGAATGCTGYGGCTGCAGCTGCTTGCTGCTGATGCCGCTGTAGAATCATTGTTGTGAGTCTTAAAGCTCCAGCAGGGGGCTGAATAAAGAAAAATCCAGGTTTGTCTCACTGCTCTGTCAGATTCACTTTCTGAGATATCTGCTGAACAGCCATGCATCTCTGAGAAGCTTTGGCCTTGTAATTTTTATCGTGATTCTTTTTGTTTCAGATTGGCACATTCAGATCCTGTGTTTAAGAAAATTGCTTACAGAGAATATGAAGTGGATTTTAAGAGAGAAAAGCCAGCAAATAAATTTGCAGGTAAACTGGAAGGAAGTGTTCTGGGATGGGGTTTTTGTTCATTTGTTTMGGGCTTGTCTTGCAGCTAACAGCAAAATAAACAAATCTGTTTTGTCCTGTGAGAGGCCATGAAGAAATTGAGTTTTGAGAAGCTAATGCTTGATGCTATCTGCAAATCAGTTGCATAATGTAGAATTTTTTCTTTCATTTTCTGCATCTGTTGAGACTCCCCTTRCATGTTTAGAATTGTACAGTCACAATGACGGCGCTATGAATTCACTTTGGAAGAATCTCGGGTCTGAGTCTGAACGTAGTTCTGATGGAACAGGGGTAAGAAAAAGACAGCTGTTACGATGGGTGTGAGAGACATCCCCTTGTGTTTGCCATGTGTCGCTGTTGAAGACACTTTAGATAGACAGGGACAGGTTCTCATGCCATCCATAAATATGGTACTTATATTTTTATAGACCAATGCAGTTTTTATGCTCTGCAATTGCTTCATCTTAACAAGTAGAATAACTGTAGATATTTAGCCACTTAAATTTCAAAACAAATGTGTATAAAAGTGGTGCTATCAAACTCTTACAAGTCATCCTGAAAGGTCTTGTCTATTATTTGATTCCTTTCGCTTTGGAGGTTCTCCCATCTTTTCTGAAACTGCTGTTTTCTTTCCAGAGGAATAAATTTACAGAATTGTTTTACAAAGAAAGACACCAACAGGGCCATAGTTGTCCTAGCAGGTTACTTCCAGTGTTTATTTTTGCCACATGGCAGGCAGTAGGGATGCAAGTCCATCTTAAAATCCATACCTAAAATAACATGGAACATGGAGCTGGTTATGTCTTTAAATGCCACTCTGTGATGGAAAAATCTGCCTTCCTAAAACTGTCTGCTTAAATTGTGTGTAAAAGATTCCTAGAAATTCCTAATCAGCTTCAAAATGAACATTTTGATAAATTTTTGAAAAATAAGCATCTGAAAAATAACTTTTTTTTTTGTACTGCCATTTTCCTCTGATTTTATTTTTTTTTAAGTTTTAGTTGCCAAACACACACAATTTATAGCATTATCGACTAAGAGCTGTGTTAAATTCCCATGTCTTTCTACAAAAAAATCTTCATTGTGGTGCTATTACATTCTCTACCTATGTTTTGTGCAATGTGTGCTTTACAAGAACTCTTTTTCCCTGCTGGGAAAGATCTCTTCCTTTCACTAAACACACTGTTTTACCGATATTTTGCTCTCTCCCTATCATGAATAACTGCAGGACTTCTGGGACCAACTCTGCGTGCCGAAGTGGGAGATACTTTAGTAGTTCACTTTAAGAACATGGCTGACAAAGCACTCAGCATTCATCCCCAAGGCATAGCCTACAACAAGAAGGCTGAAGGTAAATGCTATAAAAAAAACATATTTTGTTTTTTTGTTTGTACATTACTGCATGAAACACAGAGAGAGCCCCAGAACAATACTTGGAGATGGGTAGCACAAATGTGTGGCACCTGTTGATGGAGCATGGGTTAGAACTTCACACCCCTTCACAGAATGGTTGAGGTTGGAAGGGACCTCTAGGGATCATCTAGCCCAAGCTCCCTGCTCCAGCAGGGACACACAGAGCACGGGGCACAGGGCGGCATCCAGGCAGGATTGGAAGATCTCCAGAGAAGGAGACTCCACAACCTCCTTGGGCAGCCTGTGCCAGGGCTCTGTCACCTTGTTGTCTTTCTTGTTCCTCAGTGTAGTACTACGTAGAGTGGTGTCTGGCATGTGTATTCTCCCAACCAACTTCCTACCTGTGTTTGACTGTTAACCAGCCGAGGAAGCAAAAGTGTTTTGTATTTCCCAGCAGGAGCTGAACTTATTTGGATAGTACTAATACAGCTCCGTGGTTTACAGTTTACCACAGTGATTGAGTCCCACATGGGGAGAATTAGCAGGTTTCGGAACACACAACTTCAGGCTGTCCAGCCACCTAATTTCACCTAAAAATCAACTGAAGAATGGAATGCAATTACGCTGTTGGAACAAGTATTAGGCAGAATGTCAAAAGCTGTAATTACCACAAGAGGGAAAATGTAGTGGTGGAGTGAACTTCCACAGTTCTGCAGGGCTGCAAAGACGACTTGATCCAGGTATAGAGACTGACTCTACACTAGAGAACATCTCTTCTTATAAAGATAAGCAGCTTCAACTTTGAGATTTTATTACAGGCCTTCCCCCCAAATAACCCACATGTTACTGTGTTTTCCTGACCTAAACTGAACAGGATGAAGACACAAATCCAGTGCTCCTGCTTCTTGTAGAAAGAGTTTTAGTTGTGGTTCTTAATGGCAAGAAAGGGAATGGCCTCCAAAAAGTGTTAATGTTGAGCAGGATCTCTTTCCTTGGGGGGTTTTGGATTTTTCATTGCCTGTGCAGGTTTTAGTGAAAGAAGAAGAGGCAGGATGTTTTAAACTTTTAAAGTTTTTAAGTTTTGCAGGACAGCACTTACATAGAAATGAAGAAGAGAATACTGAGAAAGTCCTCTGTGAGCCGATCAAGTATGCTGTGTGAGGGTCTGACAACTTTGCGAACTTTGGAACAAGGAAGTGACTAGCTGTTTGCAAAGCAAGTGAACTTCAGGACATTATCTTGCAGTAAACATCCACAAAGTTTCCAGAGGACATATCCTGTAGTTGCAAAATATTCTATTTTAGTAAATTGTAAAAACTTGAGGTTGGATCAAAAATTCCAAATTCCTTGCAATAGCGCCCATCAGGTCATTAGTGATAAAGGAAGGTGACGTTGTAGGTAATGTCATTCTAACACTCAACATTGTATTCCCGGCTTTTGCCCCTGGAGCTCTCATTTAGGCTAGTGGCAGGCGAGCATAACGTGCAAGTTGGAAGTTCGATGCAGGCCCCAGCACAGAGCGAGCCTGAATGACTCTCTGTGGTCAGTGGATTTCCCTGCCTTAGGTGCTAAGCCAGAGCTCTGATCAGCAGTTTGCAAATTACTGCCTGACAATGATGAAATGTTTTGAAATGTTTTGAATCCTGGAAAAATGTGCAAGAAATACTAATATTCTGAAGGATTAGGAAGCAAAAGTATCTTCTGTTTTCAAATAACTAGAGAACTAGTTGGAATTTACCTTTTTTTTTTTTTTTTTTTGGTAGGCTTTTTTTAGTGTCTGACTTTCAGGGCGTTTAGTCACTGTAGGGTTTGTTCACTGTTCGGATACAAAAGTCATTTTCTTTCATTTCAGGGAATTGAGCAGAACATATACTATTGGAAGTGATAGACAATTCCATTTGACTATTCTGTTGATTTACCTTTTGCATCTACAGTTGTGATGACATCTTTGTGATCCTTCATTTCTGTTGGATATCACAGCCATAGATTAGCATCTGTGTGACTGCCATTTGGATTTGCAGTTCACCAAAAGTATAAGGCAACAAGGCAGCCCAGACCTGCACAGTGTCTGGCTTTATGAGGGATAATCAGAAAGCTGACCAAGTAGGCAGTTAGTATTCAGCTTCTACAGAGTGTCAATGAGCAAAAGTTGAAACTTTATGATGTCTTAACCACGGTCAGGCTAGTAAAGAGCCCCACCTTTTGGCAGTAATGATAAATTTTGACTAGGAAATTTTGACGGAGTAAGAAACAAGGAGTGGGGTAGATGCTCTTCTTGATATCCTTCTCGGTCACAATGTGAGTGGAATCCAGCGTCATCCCAATGAAGCTGAAATACTACATAGGCAAGAAATAGATCAAGCTTTTTTCATAGCAATTATAGAAAGATGTTCGACGTACTGCAGTTGCTCCTCTTCGTGCCATCTTACTGTATAGCTCTTTCCTTGGCAGGTTCCCTGTATGATGACAGAACATCATCTGTGGAAAAAAGAGACGATGCTGTGCTTCCAGGCCAGGTCTACACGTATGTGTGGGATATTGCTGAAGAAGTTGGGCCAAGAGAAGCCGACCTTCCATGTCTCACTTATGCCTATTATTCCCATGAGAACATGACAATGGATTTCAACTCTGGTCTGATTGGAGCATTACTTATCTGTAGGAAAGGTAATGAAACATTCTGTGTAGTAGATATCAGCTCTAAGGTAACATAGCCTCATTTTTAATTAAATTAAGGTGGTATGACAGTGAGGGGAAGTATTTTTTTATTCCAYGTGTTTAGGTATAGCACAAAGAAAGTGGTTTTTCAATATCTTTTCTTTTAGGTGTTAAAATTTTAAATGCCTGCTTTTATGTAGATTAGTTCTCTAATTAAAGGATGGTTAGATAATGCTATCAATAGATAGTTGCCTATATTAAATGTATTTTCAATTGTTTTCCTTTAACAGTTGCTTATTCAACACAAGACTTCAGTGTCTCTTTTCAGAATAAATGTTCTTTTTTTTAAACATCACTTGAAATGACTCAGCCATTCTAGAGAATAAGTATAGGAAATAGTCTTTGCTTTACTCATGCCATTTAAAGCCTCCCTGATCAAGAGGTAGCTCCCTCTCTTTTAGCAAGGATTTGAATCTCAGATTTGTCTCTTTCTAGTATTTTCAATAGGTCTAAATTAGAACAAATTCATGGATATATTGTGGGCTGGGTTGAAGTGGATTGGTTTAATCACTAGCTTAAGGGCAATTTGAGCATATGCTTCTATCTTGAATATTGGCAAATGCGTAACTACTCAAACTTTTAAGACTTCTGAACAAGGTTTCTTTGGCTTGGCACTGTCCAGTCAAAAGGAGAAGATGGAAGCCAAGGCAGGTGAGATATTGTAGATGCGTAAAAAGCCTGACACATTATGAGCAGCAAAGATGGTAGATTATAAACAAGGAGCTTTTGAGGTAAAGCAGTGTTTGAACACTCCTTGCATGATAAATCCCCTGTGCAAAAAAGCTGGACTTTGTAGCCTCTCATAAATAAACAGAATTGCATTAAAGGTAGCTAATTCCCCTGCCAGCGTCTCTTCCTAACTAGAATAATCGACAAGTTCCCAAATTTTGTAGTTCCTGCATTCCAAAAGGACACTTATTTTAGTCTTGGATTAAGTAGATTTATTTAAAGTAGCAAAGGGAACTTTTTGATGTGAGCAAAATTTAGAGAGAACCAGTGAAATCAGACCTTTTTTTTTGGGGGGGGGGGCGGAGGGCGGGCAGCAGACGGCAGATATTTTTATGTCCAAAAGGGAATTCTGCTTGGTAGAAATCACACCTTTATCACAGACTCTACAAGATAATGTCATATACTTGATTCAGTTTTGCAGTATTTGTCCAAGACTTTCCTATGTAAAGGTTGGTTGTTGAGAGGTCTCTTAAGCATTTTAAAGGAGCAGATGACCTCAGTGCAGTGCTTGAAAAGGCAGAATTTGCACTGCAGATGATTCTTATCATGGGTGTTCTCTTTGCCTTGTAGTCCAAGAGGAGAGGCCAGGGTCTGAATGGGAACAGAAGAATGTTCTGATTTCCTGTTCATTAAGGTGATCTCTGCAACACATAGCCAGAATTCTCTGAGGCAGTTGCTTAATCTCCTCTCAAACATTATAGGTTTTCAGTTTCATGGTTACCTACCCCAAGAGCATTTTCAGAAATGAATTCACATTACCACGATTCTTAAAATCATTTCTGCTCAGGCTCAGTCACTACACTCTAACCTCTGAAAAGAGGATGGAGAGGAGGGAAGCTCACTACGTGTGAATGCCATTGCACTGCTGTGGGAACTGCTTCACTTCTGACCTGTTGATTCCTCTTCATAGGAAGCCTGAAGGAGGACGGGTCACAGAGACTTTTTGACAGGGARTACGTGCTGATGTTCGGTGTGTTTGATGAAAGCAAAAGTTGTCAAAAGGCATTGTCACAGACCTCAGCACTGAAGTACACAATAAATGGTTATGCTGATGGGACGTTATCAGGTACCATGCGAGCATATGCAACTTGAAATAAGCACTGATGAAGACTGCTTATTGCATTTCTTTGTTTTGTGCTGATGAGGAGACAATAATGTGGTTAATTAAACTGCTGGTTCTAGGCATTCCCATCTAGATAGGAATGCCTCAGATGGAAAGCTGCCTTCAGGTGGAAAGTCATTTCCCATTCAATCAGGCAGCTAAGTGGGAGGGCTAAGAGGGTGGTAAGGGGACTATTCTGTTGTTAGTATTTTCCCCTTGTTCTCCTAATGAATTGCTTTCATGCTTCTCTCCAGTCTATTCAGCAAATTAAAAAGTTTGTTGAGTTTTATTGTTATTGTTGTTTCTCTTTTGGATAAACATCATTGAATAGTTACTTTCATTAAATTCAGTCTTGTTCTTTAGCTTGGTTCCTTGCCAAACAAGGACACCTCTGGTGTCTGAAATAGCCTATTGTTTTTCTTTCTTCTTGCCCAGTTCCATATAAGTCAGGTTGTTACTTGCATGTAAGATTTAAACATAGAATGCTTAGAATAGAATAGAAACACCTGGTCTTCTGACTTTGGAGGACCTGAATCTTGTTCTCCTTTCTTTTTCAGACTTAGAGGCTTGTGCCTATGACAACATTAGCTGGCATTTGATAGGAATGAGTTCCAAGCCAGAAATTTTCTCCATTCATATCAATGGCCAGACCATGCAGCAAAGAAATCATCGAATTTCTACTGTTAACCTGGTGGGAGGAGCATCAACCACAGTAAACATGACAGTCAGTGAAGAAGGAAGGTGGCTGATCTCTTCTCTTGTCCAGAAGCATCTGCAAGGCAAGGAAACATTTATTTACTCCACAGTTTAAGAGGTGGTACTTTTCTTCTGCATGTCCTAAAGGGCCTGTTTTTTGGGGCAATGGTGCAGTTACTGTGTTTCAGATTGTTGGTATACTAAGAAACCACTGGAGGCAGGGCATTTTGCTGGAGTTAAAACTGCAGGACGAAGTAGAAGGCATCATTATCAGTGACTTTACTGCAGTGAATCAGAATTCCAGATGTTAAGTCTCTGGGATGTGCTCAGATAAGCTGCATTGTAAAAAGGAAAAGAAGTCATCTGTTTCCTGAGAAACTGAGCACTTTCAGCTGAGTCCGGCTTAATCTGATGGAAATATTTGTTCATTCAACAGATGAAAACATTTGTTCATGTTCATTTCTTGAAAGCGGGGAATGATTTCAGCTGATTATTTCAAAGAACACTAATTGAGTGAGCTACTGTATTCCACTTGATTGATATGGGCTTCTCAAAAGGTCCCAGCCTACATGCTTACAGTCCTTTCAACCCTGAAAAGATGGTGCTTGTATGAACAAATGCTTGCAAGCTAAAGAAATAAAAAATGCAGTGGAAGCAGCAAGGATGTATAAAATGAAAAATCATTGTGGTATTCTCCTTCTTTCCAATTAGCTGGACTGCATGGTTACCTCAGCATAAAAGGTTGTGAGGACAAAGAGGTGAAGAAGAAGAAGAGTCTCTCCTTTAGAGAACGCCTTATGGTCAAGAATTGGGAGTATTTCATTGCTGCAGAAGAAATTACTTGGGATTATGCCCCAAATATTCCAGACAACCTTGATAGGTAAAATAATACCTTGTCAACCTAATATGAAGTATTAACTTGGAATCACAGAGAAATGTAGGGTGGAGGAGACTGCTCTGTCCTAAATGGAGAATGGTCATCTCACCCAAACTCACACTCTGAGAATAGCCACCTTGAATTTTAGCTCTGTCTGCAAAGTTAGACCAACTGCATGAAGCTTTGTCTAGTTGAGTTCTCAGTATCTCCAAAGCTAGATACATCACAGTCTTCCTGGGTGCCTATTCAACCTCACTGTTAAAAAATGTTTTCCTGTGCTGCAGCTTGTGCTCACTGCATCTTATCCTTTCACTCTTTCACTGTACAGCTCTGAGAAGASTCTGATTCCATTTGTGTGTAACCTCATGTTAAGTAGATGAAGATATAAATAAGATGCTCCCTTAACCCTTTCTTCTTTAGGTAAAAAGAAAAAGAACAAACAAAAAACCCCTCTACTCTAATCCTCTTAACCTGACTCTCCACTGGACTCACTCCAGCAGATTAATATTTTCTGCTAGGAAGCCCAAAACTGTACACCTTTTTCAACCTCTAATGGGAAGCCCAAAACATGAAGATGACTAAATTCTAATTTCTAAACAGAAAAGCAGGGAGTTAATTCTTCTGGAGAACAGAGGTTTTAAAAAGGTCAATATAACAGGGTGTTTAGGGAGTGAGAGAAAGAACGGTATTTAAAAAAAATCTTTGCATGACCCAAAGAGGAGTTGCAGTAAAAGTCTAAGTAAATAAGTGGGATATCTTGTTCAATGTGTCTCTAAGGTACATGAGGTCATCGATCATGGCATCCAGTGCTGCTGGTGCCTGGTAGGGACAAATCTGTGCTCTGGCAGCCCCTTCCTGCTGCAGCAGCGTTGGCCCTTGCCATCATGGGTCAGCTATAGAACCTCTTAATTACCAGATAAACTGAAACTGTGGACTCTCCAACCTGATGTTCATAGGAAACTTTAAGCATTCAAGCAGGAGAAGAAAAAATCCTACGCCTGTATGGAGTTATAGTTACATATACCTCTTTAGTTTACAAAAGCTGTATTTTCATATCTTCATATCTCTTAAGTACTCCTYCTCCTTTCATACAATCTCTTCCCTTCTCAGCTCTTGGACTCTGCCTGGCATGCTTTGATTTTTCTGTTCTGTTCAGAATTAGAGATCAGAGATTTATCCCTGTTCACTAATCTTTTCTTTTTAAAGGATAACTAATCAGGCCAAATACATCACTCTCTCATTATCCAGTTCTTAGCCTAGTTTTGCTTGACATTGAGAATTCTGATATTTTTAAACTCTTAAGTATAATACATTTTACTGTATGATGCTTGACAGGATTAAGGCTATATGAGTGCTGTTGCTTACTCTCCTGTAAACAAATAATAGTAAAATTTTCCTGGGCTCAGTTCTACCTGTATGCGAAGAACAGTTAAACACTGCTAACTCATCTTGAAAATGTAGCTGCCACTTGAGTTTCTGTTTCTTTCTTGCATCTGCACTTTATTGAACTCGACAGAAACTCTGATACTGATTGTCACACGTGATTCTCTAACCTCATTTGCTTTTTTTCCCTAGTTACTGAAGTTTACACCTTTTAAAATTTCTTTTTCTCTTTTTTGACTAGCAGTTCTGCATCCTGGCAATGTCACTATTCAGGTTGTTGATCATGTGTATTTTCCTTCATTTCTAAGGCACTATAAAGCACTGCATTTGGACAACTTCTCAAATCTCATAGGTAAAAAATATAAAAAAGCTGTTTTCAGGCAGTATACAGATGCAAGCTTCACCAAGCGTCTGGAAAGTCCTCGGCCTAAGGAAACTGGAATTTTGGGACCTATTATCAGAGCTCAACTCAATGACAAAGTCAAAGTAAGAAATTATTTACAATATAGCAATTTTTCTGTTGGGCAAAGGCTCTTAAGACCTAATTTGTTTTTTTCTTGGCTTTTTTTTTTTTTTTTAATGAAATAATATAGCTAATGTTGTGAAAATTGGCCTTATTGAAAGGTAAGGCCACAAGTGAAAGACTTGAGGTTAAATTTTTCATTGCTCTCTCTATAATTGCTATGTTTGTGTTGCATTTTACATCATAAATACATTTCATTTGCATTCTTTATATAGAACATTAATATATTGAAGCTGGTCCAAAATGAAGGCACTTGTGTCCGGCTGGATTTCTCAAGAGATTGAGAGCTGAGATTAAGCTTCATGAGCCCCTCATTCCTAATGTTGTTGTTCTTTCTGGCCATTTTGAACAATGTCACTCATTTTTCATAGTTAGAAATTCTTTTTTTTTTTTAGGGGGGGGGAGGGTTCATCCAGAGTAGGCAGGAGAGTTTGCCTTTCCTTCCCACTTCCTCTTCAGGTCTTGGAAGCTGAGAAAATAAATATATATGTATTTAATCATTTTTCTCCTACATTGAAGATTATTAGGAATTTTAGCCAATAACTTCATACTCTTTGAGGTAAAATATGCCTACCAGCTGAAAGAAGACTTTGCTTTTAGATTTACCACACAGAAAAAGCTGAACCTCACGCAAAGAGGTCTACAAAACCTAGTAGGAGGGGTATCCTACTAGGTACCAGCAGCATTTGGACTATAGATGGTGAGCATTTGGATTATGAGATGGTGTTTTAAGGCATCTCTTTCCTATTCTAGTATTTCTACAGAGCTGAAACCAAGCAAATTCTACTATAGTCAGAACTTTTAGTAATGAATTGGAGTAAGGATTTTCTGAATACTAAAGTCATTGCTTTTCACTTCCCTACCAATGTAGATTGTATTCAAAAATAAGGCTAGTCGACCCTACAGCATTTACTTCCATGGAGTGACACTATCCAAGAATGCAGAAGGAGCTAATTATCCTTTGGATACCACCACAGGTAAGAAATGAATAGATTAAATTTTGCATGTCACTGACTGTGGTACAGAGTTTCTTTGGTTTGAAAGAGTTGCTCTGGATAGAGCTGCAGGCCTGGGGAGCTGAAGTTTCTGTTTGCCATTTACTGCCTTGTATTGTCTTGTAGAGAAACAAAGGGATTATATGCAAAACATTGGTATCTTGTTTTTCTATTCTTGTGTTTGATTATAGAGAGACTAGGCTGAACTTTATGTTGAAGTAGCTTCAAATGGCAAAACCTCATTGATTCAATTCGAAGTTATAACTTGACACTATCCAAAGATCTGGCACGAAGTTTGTATCATCATTCTTCTCCCTTTTCATTTTTCCTTTAGGCAACAGCACCCAGAACGCAGGAGTTCAACCAGGAGAGATCTACACTTATGAGTGGAAAATTGCTGACACGGATCAACCCACTGYACAGGATGCCCAATGTATTACAAGGCTGTACCACAGTGCTGTAGACATAGAGAGAGATGTAGCCTCTGGACTCATTGGCCCACTTCTGATTTGTAAAAGTGAATCACTGACCCAGAAGGGTGTACAGGTAACATGTTTGGCAACATCACAGAGACAGATTTTGCTCCTTCATATAACCTGAATTATGATGGAATTTTGGTTCTGCTTGCCCTCTGCTTAATGTGCTGCAGAAGAGCCATTATACCAATAGGTTTAATAGGTTTCTGAAGAAATGACTTGAAGAAACAGATATCTCCTTGTCCATAGTGAGTAGAGGAATCATATTCCTCTAAGATTTTGCTAAGATTTTCTTGGTAAAGGTAACATTCCAACAAGAAGTGAGCCAGATTTAGACTTGATAACAAGTAAACTTCCCTGCCTCTATTACATTCTTGCACTCTAAAGGTATTTGAATCTGAGCTGGCCCTTCTCCATTAACAGATTCAACCCAAGAAGGTCTGACAATCTCAGACATCACTGAATCCACAGCAGTATAAACAAGCTCAAGGAGTTCTGAGAGAGGCCTTCTTCTCTTTTTCATCCATGGAAATCTTGTTTGGCAGAGGCTTGGGTGTTACTTGAGAGAAAAGTTGTGGAACGTTTGTGTTTAGGTCAAACCACAAGGCCTCTGCTTTTACRGAGAGGCCAACCTCCTACCATGTGTGTGTTGTCAGCGCTAGCGGCTCACACAGAGTTCTGCCGTGGGCTGGTTGCAGTGGTAGCAGTGTCTCCTTGAAGTCCTGACCCCATCGTCCCTCTCCCTTCATCCGTGGAGCTTCCTTATCTCAACTGTGATAGAACTTGTTGCTTGCATATGGATAGCAGATTTGGGTCCTTAATGCTTATCACTACTTGTAACTGCTGTGTTGATTGTCTTTCAGAAAAAAGCAGATGGGGAGCAGCAGGCAGTGTTTGCTGTGTTTGATGAAAATAAGAGCTGGTACATAGAGGATAACATCAAGGATTACTGCAGCCACCCTGCCAGTGTTAAAAGGGATGACCCCAAGTTCTATAACTCGAACATAATGCACAGTGAGTGGGAAATCAAACTGAAGATTATGAAAACTCATGTGAACCTAAGCGTTCAGTGACTGCTCATTCTCATATGGAGTGCACTCAGGAAATTCTCTAGAGGGACATTGACTGTCTAACCAAGACAGGCAGTACTGAGCAGTAGTGTATGCTTACAGTGTTTTAGGGATGGGACTGGCTTTGGGCCCTGAAGGAAAGGCAAGAGTTACTTGACTTTGACACAACAGCACCCTGCTGATAAAAGATACTATCTCCAGAGCTGAAATCTTCATTGTGGCTGTTGTGGTTTCAGTGCTGGGCCAGTCTCTCTTATGGTACAATGTCCAATTCAGTGGACTCATTCAAGAATACAAAACTTTAAAATTATGGCTCTTTAACTTTTAAACTGGTGAGGCATGAAAATATTTTGACCACTTTCATTTTGCTTTCTTCTTAGCAATAAATGGCTATGTGTCCGACAGCAGTGAAATCCTTGGGTTTTGCCAAGATAATGTGGTTCGGTGGCACTTTTCCAGTGTGGGCACTCATGATGAGATTGTCTCTGTTCGTCTTTCTGGGCACTCTTTTCTTTATCAAGGGAAATATGAAGATGTGCTGAACCTTTTCCCAATGAGCGGAGAATCAGTCACGGTAGAAATGGACAATGTTGGTAAGTGGCAAGACTGCCAATGTCTATTTCATTGCTCCTCTAGGAGTTTCTTTAATTGCTAGTCCATATGGATTTATCCAAGTAGGAAAACTTTTTAGATAAACACAGTGACAGAAAATCTTGAATCATTACCCAAAGTGATTGATGTATATGGAGTTTTGTTGTCCAGACAAACTTGGTGCATATCACAGGTGTATACTAGACTGCGACTATTTTAACTTTCTTAAGACGTTTAAGATTAGGGGGTTAGCAGTGAAAGCAATTCTAAGATTACCCATATGAACAGGCCAACATTATTCCACTGATGATTCACAAATTTGCTGCATACTTCTCCATCCTAGGATTCACAACTTCAAAGAACTCCCATTTGATGCCACTTAGGGAAACAGATTTTACATTGTTCTCTGTAGATCCTGATTTCAAATGGAGAACTTGAGTTCTAACTTGAAGATTTTAWTAAGTCCTCCAAAAACTAATCATTTTAGATGCTCTAATTGTCAGCTTAATGTTTTATGTCCTGACTTGAATCCTAGTTACTTCAGTATTCTTTTAGACTGTCTTGTTTTTTAATCAAAGGGTTTTAAAATACAATGTGCTTGTGAAATGTTTGTGAATGTTATCTCAGAACATGTTTGTTGTAGACAGAATTGTTTTTCTTTGTGGCACTGCATACAACACTAAGGAGAGATAAGATTTAACCTTTTTACTCAAAAACAACAAAATTTAGATCGAGATCTAAACGGAGAATATTTTATGTCATTTCTTTCTTCTTCTTTTATGACATACGTTTAGGCTCAGGTGTTATGAACTTAATATTTGAAAAAGAGCTTCTGAGCTCCTGCTGAGACAGGAGCTGTGGAGAGAAATCCAACAATTTGCCGTAACCATTTATATGATGGGCAGTGTTAACTACTATAAATAATGCATATTAGGAAAACAATTTTTATTTCAATTGCAGGTACTTGGCTTTTAGCTTCCTGGGGTACCCCAGAGATGAGTTACGGAATGAGACTGAGATTCCGAGATGCCAGATGTGACTATGAGGAAGAGTACACGTATGACGTTGTGGATTTTGATCCTGCCAAGACTAATAAGAATGCTATTTCTGCCTCAACTGAAGATGAGGGAAGTGTAGATGAAGAGGACTTGGCTTATCAGGACTACCTGGCAAATGCTTACTCCATCAGAAGCTCAAGGAAGTCGGAAGGCAATGAGGAAACACAAAACCTTACAGCATTGGCCTATGAAGAGTACTCTGGCACTGACACTCCAAATTCTGAGGTGGATTATGGATCAGATCTAACATCCGTAAAGAGTAATGAATCTTCAAACTCTCACGTGTTTTTAGAAAGTCATCCTTTTCCCTGCACTGAGGATGAAACATTCCAGCCAAATTGCACAGCAGCCCCAGGAGAAGAGGATGTATTTTTGACTAGCACAAGCAATGGAAAGCCTGACTTGGTATTTGAGAATAGAAGCCAAAGCAATTATGGAGTAGATCATAGTAACATGTCTGCAGGTGAGCACTTGTTGAGTAATGAGGAAGCCCAAATGAAAGTTGCAGAGGAGCTTCCGACTGATGGAAGGGACAATATTTTTTTTTCAGAAAAACATCAGGAGGAAAGCACAGAAAGAGGAAGTGATAACATTGATCATAAAAGGGAACGACGCAACTCACTGGCTACAAAGTTTTACTCTGTCCGAAAGATGAATGCCCTTCTGCATCATATCCGAAATAAAAATGGCTCATTCTCTGACGAGACAGATGCATCTCATTCCATGCATCATCTGGAGAACACATCCCATATAGCCATGGGAAGTGAGCAACTTCCAAGTGATTATGATGATGAAGAGGAAGAGGAGGAAACTGAGATGGAAAATGCAATGCATACAGTTAACTTGACACTTGCTCTGGAACTCCCTGTAGAAAAATATGAATCCAATGCATATAGCCCCTCTGGAGTCAACCTATCCAAAGATAAACAAGCAGACACTTCTTTAGATTATCCATTAGGTAATATAAACCCTAATTCCAATCCTACAATAGTGAAGAATTTATTGGAAACATCATTGCCCAGGACTGTCAAGTATTCATCTAAAATGACAAATGAGGAATGGAATTTGGTCTCTGCAAAGGAGAGTCTGAGATTAGAGGTGAATTTAGATAAATCTGTTAGTAGTAAATTAAATCGTGGTAGCAGAAATGGTACAGTATTCCTAAATGAAAAGCATATGAAGATGTACTCACATCTAGTGGAAGGAAAACAGGAAGGGATCCACATGCACCCAACTCTGAAAGTAGAGGAGAGGAACAAGAATGATACTTTGAGTACATCTGGAGCCTTCATCAAGACCCGTCGGAAAAAAAAAGAATATCCAAAGAATACTCTTTTGCTAAGCCCGAGGAGTAAAAAGACAACCAGACTCACCAAGCCTACTGTGACATTCAACTGCACGTTGTTCCCAAGTGAGGCCAACCACACACCACCACCTTGTTCCATTAACACAACAGGGACACCCAGCAATGCCAACCGCGCAGGGCATCTGAGCAGAGCCAACCATAAGGGGCTGATGCCACGACAGTTCAAACCATCCATCGTGATTGGTCTTCCTCATGAAAATGGGAACTATGAGTATGTTACAGGAGACAATTACCAAGAGGAAACCTCAGGTGCTGAATATGAATACCACTACGTGAGCTTTGAAGACCCATACATGACAGACCCAAAAGTGAATATCAAAGAACAACGTAATCCAGATACCATTGCTGGGCATTACCTACGTAGCAAAGGGAACGAGAGGAAATACTACATTGCAGCCGAAGAGGTTTTCTGGGACTATGCAGGATTTAAAAAAAGGTTTGTCTAAATCCTTTACTCTCATTTGACACACCATCCTAAAACCTACTGGGACAATGTTGATTCTGATGATGATAAAATTAACACCATGTATTACATGCAATGTAATTACCAACATTTCAGTTATAGAACTCTCTGGATTTTCCATGGGAGGTAGGGGGACCCATTTAGAAATGTTATATAGAGAAATTACTGTAAGAATAGCAAAATAACCCTTTTTTTCCTCTAGCCTCCTTTTATAGATTCACCCGACCTCCTTTTATAGATTCACCAGAAACAGTCTTTAAAAGAGAATTTAAAAAAATCCACCGTAGCAAGTAGTGAGAATTTCCAGTTAGTTTCGTTGTACTTGGATGAACTGTTTTACTTTCACCTTTAGTTCTTCAATGCTAAAGTAAAGACAGGAGAGACCCATTTGTGCAAAGTCTTTCCAGGAATTACATGGACTGACTGACCTAATACAGAAAGGACATACGAGGGGCAGCTGCTCCTGAGAGGGAAATACTTTCATTACAGAAAATTCAGCTTCAGGAATATTTTATTTTTAAAGTGGCATTTTCAATTTATTTAATTGATTTTTTTCATACTTTTCCAGTGTTTTCCAGGTATATTCCTACCTCATGTCCATCAATATAAGTACTAACTGCACAAATGGCTGAAACCTCAGACAGTTTCTCTCTATGTGCTTAGAAATAAATTTTGATGCTGAATATTATATCTGGACTTCCCCAGTGAGGAGGAGGTCTATCCTCGGGTGTTCTCAGCACCTGTGAAGGTGCATAGTTCCACTAACTATGGTACTCACAATCTCAGTGTGCAGAAGAACTGAAAACAACCCTTCCTCATATTAGATGGCTAAGAAAGGTTAAGTTTCTATTCCTGAAAAATTGATAATGAGGAAGGATTTAGGTGGAACAGATACAGAGTGATGACTACAGTAATGGAGTTTTGCTGATTTGTTTCAGCTCTGAGGAATGATTTTGGGTGCTGTTCTTACCAGCCCTATCTTGCCAAATGCGGATAGAATCTGATGTAAAATGTGTTTCTGCTAGCTCACCAGAGAAGGTACACCTGTGAGAGACCGGGTTGTAGGTGGTAGGCCTGCAACATGCTGAGCTAATCTCTGATTTAGTTTATTAGGGCTAATGTTATAAAAGGAAAATAGAGATGAGATGAGTTTTCAGAGAGTAGTTGGAGTTTTCATGAGTGGCAGCTCACCTTTCAAGAGTCTTTTATGTAACTGTAGCACTGGAATTGCTTAAACATTGTAGATGAAGCCTGTGTACTTGTCTAAAATKTTCCTGCTTTTTGAGTATTCAGATTTCATCATCAGAACTGGTATTTCTGCTTCTGCTGTAGTTTGGTTTGATTTGATTCAATTTTAAAATCTGGGATTTTCTTTCAGCACAACAGCAAATGATAAAACCCATCAAGGCTGCGGCAACATGAAATACAAGAAAGTGATTTTTCGAAGCTATACAGATAGTACCTTTACAGTTCCTCAGGAAGAAAATGAGTATGAAGAGCATCTTGGCATCCTGGGGCCAGTTATCCGGGCTGAAGTGGATGATGTTATCCTAGTAGGTCCCTATGCTGATATGTGTGCAGTATGCTCGAATCCTTCTGCAGATCTAACCAGGGCACATGCAACTAGTTTGAATATGCCAATATAAATTAAAAGAAGGCTATAGAGGGGACACATTTTCAAGGCAGAAATTGCAGTGAGGACTAGTGATATGTTTCTCTGAAGGGATGTAAGAAGCCCCTTTTCTCTTCACAGTAAATTCCCTTCTGGTTTTCTTCCTTACATTTCCCACTGTTAAATATTGCTTTATCCAGTAACTCAAGTTTATCGATTTTTTTATCAAATCCTGGTTTATTATATTCCAGTTTAAGTAATTATATTTCTAGTTTATGTAAAAGAAGACGTACCTTTATTTTTTTAAACCCAGACATCATTGAAAATACTGCTTTTTAGATGAAAAGGAGATTTTTTTTAAGAGGTATGAGAAAATTCCCAGATCTTTGTCCAAAGAGTATACTTTCATCTGAAGACTCTTGTTGTAAATTTTTTGGTTAGTTTCAATAGAAAAAAAGGTAGCTTAGGAACTGTATCTCTAATGATACAGCAATACATTTGCTTTAGAAAGCAACTTAATTAGACTTTTCACTACTGTCCTTATCATTCTCTATACAGTCTCCCAAAACAGAGGCATATACTAGATGGGGCAGAGTTTACATCAGTACGAGTAGGAACACACTCAGCTATGTTAAAAACATGAGTAAGAAAAGAAGTTATCTGAATTTGGGAATGTCATTCTTTAAAGGGAGGTAAAAGGGGCCTGGAACATCTGCCCTATGAGCAAAGGCTGAGGGAGCTGGGCCTGTTCTGCCTGGAGAAGAGGAGGCTGAGGGGGGACCTGATCAGTGTCTATAAATACCTCAAGGGAGGCAGTGAGGACGAGGGGCTGGCCTCTTTTCAGTGGTGGACAGCGACAGGACTAGAGGAAACAGCCACAAGCTGAGGCACCAAAAGTTCCACAGGAACTTAAGGAAACACTTCTTGACAGTGAGGGTGACAAAGCACTGGCACAGGCTGCCCAGAGAGCTTGTGGAATCTCCTTCTCTGGAGATCTTCCAAACCCGCTCTAGGTGACCCTGCGTGTGCAGGGGGGTTGGGCTAGATGATCCATGGAGGCCCCTTCCAACCTTAAGGATTCTGTGATTCTATGAAATACATAATGGCCTTGTCCTCATGCTTCTTCTGTAGACTAAGGGAGATGCATTGACTTCAGTGAGATCAATACGTGTAGGTCTGATGTTGCGACATGGTTACCTCTAGTGCAGCATCACAGAAAGGGTAGAAGCTCCCAGTGTCACTGTTTGCTTTAAAGAAGCATATGCATGAGTAAGGGCTTTTTTYAGTCCTAGCACCCTAGGCTTGGTAGAAGATGGGCCTTTGGACTCATGGTTCCTGCTTTCTAATTAACTGCCTTCATCAAAGAGTGTCGCTCTTGGAGATCTCAAAGGCAAATCCCTGACAGGTTTGCTTTGTACAACTTGGCCTGTAATCATTGTACAAACTGTGATTCTTTTGTACAACTTGGCCTGTAATCATTGTACAAACTGTGACTCTGTTGTGAGGTCATTGGAATGTATTATCCACCAACTCTGTTTTAGCCCAGATTTGCTGATCAGAATCTACTGCTTCTTTTTCTAGGTTCATTTTAAGAATCTGGCATCCAGACCGTATTCTCTCCGTGCTCATGGACTCTACTACGAAAAGTCCTCCGAGGGAAGCATTTACGATGATGAGTCTAGTGCTTGGTTTAAGGCAGACGATGCCGTTCAGCCAAATAACAGCTACATATATGTATGGTTTGCAAACAGGCGATCTGGACCTGTGAAGTCAGGAGCAGCTTGCCGGTCCTGGGTCTACTACTCCGATTTAAACATGGTAAGGAAGTCAAAATAGAGGTGGCAGTGTTGCTGTGATTGCTATGAATCTGCAGCTGTGGAGAAATAAGGTGAAAACACTTTTTAGATAGCTGTGCTTTCTTTGGGGCCCAGTGTTCCCCTGTCTGATATCTAATGTTTTACATTGAGTTAAAAAGAGAGTAAGCTGCTCTTTGCAGAACTCACAGTTCTTCTAATATGAAGAATTCAAATTGGGGACCTCTTTGGTAGATAGGTCAGGGAAAAGGAAAGATGCAAAGCAATGTGAAATTGGGTCTTTTCTCTTAAAATTTCAATTAAATGTTCTGCATTTCTGCAGAACAATATGGGGTTTAGACCAGCCCTCTCTTAGCAGTATAGCACAGCTGACAAATTTCCTCCTGGCAGCCTAGAATTTCAAGTTTCACATAAAGACACAGATTGGACATGCACTGCTCTTCCTCAAAAGATAGGAGCAATAACCTGCCTTTCTGGAAGGGAGGTAATTAATAGAAAAAATATTATTTTTCATCTTTCTCTGGTTAATTTGAACTAAAGGTAAAATAAAAGGGTGGAAAATCAAGGTATTTTGAAGTTTCTGAAACATAAAATCACAGGTCACTAGTCAGGTATAATTTTTAAAGACAACTTTAAAAAAGCAGATAAAGAAGATCTTTGTGTTAGAATTTGGAGCTTTCAAAGCAAGGCTCATATAAGAGACTTATAAACTAAATGAAAGTATATAGAGAGGCAGGACTTATGGATGGTATCTAGCGAGAACTTGGAAGAGATCAGAACAGTGTTAATGCAGGCCCTCAACAAAAGTCTGCATGAAGCCAGGGTCTGCAATAATGTGATTAATGACAGGTGATCAGAATTACAATGAAGGAAGTTAAGAAAATCTGCCTACAACAAAAGCATTTAGGTTACTCAGGTGGAGGGATAACTGTAAGGAACATCAGGGAGAGTTAACCAAGGTAAGGAGATGAGTAGCATTATAGCAAATAAATGTTGTGTTTGTGGAAATCTAGATAGTGCCGTTCTGTATAAATACTCTTAGTTTAGGAGAGGAATTTGACCATCACAGACTCAGTGAAGGTTTTTCCTCGACATGTAGCTTTGTCAATAAGAGAAGATTGGGTTCTATGGGAAATAGATTATTGAATAAAACAGAATGCTGTGAGGCTGTAATATGGATTAGTCATGTAGCCTCACCTGGAATGCTAAATGTAGTATTTCAAAGTGATTGTTGCAGAAATTTGGGGAATTCACAAAAGGGCAAATAAAAGTGACCTCAAAATGAGGAAAAATGAATGAGAGAATGAGGAGAAAGGACTGAAGAGAAACTTGGTTAAAATCAGAGATAGGGTCCTTTCTCATCTCAACTTGCAGGTCATCCAATCTTAGCAGTTCCTCGAGTTTGAAAAGCTGAAGAAAACCTCAAAAAAGGAGTTTTATAAGAATGGAAAATCTTGTTTTTTGACATCTTTTGGGACTTCCACTCTCACTTATAATATGGGTTTACTATTTTCTAGGAGAAAGATATTAACTCTGGGTTGATTGGTCCAATCCTGATATGTCAGAAAGGAACTTTCAATACGTCGAACAACAGCAATACACAGACCCGAGAATTTTTCCTACTTTTTATGGCCTTTGATGAAGAGAAAAGCTGGTATTTTGACAAATCTGCTAGAAGGACTCATATTGAGAAGACACAAGAAACACAAAAATGCCACAAATTCTATGGTACTTCTGCCAACTATTCAGTGTATTGGGAGGTAGAGGGAAAAGCACTGGAGGAATTGGAACAATTTCAGCTCCCTCTGTCTTTGAATATACCTAAGTTGAACATGAATATGTTAGGAAAATTATTTTAAAATATTATTTGGAGTTATCTTTTATGCCAGTAATCATTGCATTTTATGTGCAAAGACTAGCACTCACTGGAAAATTTTCAATAGAATATTTGTCTCTCACTTATGTACATCTGCCCCTCTATTAAGTGTTTGYGTGTTTGTTTTCTTTAAGAAACTAATTCCCTGGATTGGGGCACGGGGGAGATTGGATGTGTTTTTTTGTTTGTTTGTTTTTAAGAGTTCTTAAAATACAATAATATGACAAAACAACTAGTTCTACTGAGAGACTTTGATAGGCCTTAATGTACCTCTCTTTGCTGAGAACATTTTTACTTATGTTCAAATCATTTGGTGAAGTTCCTGAATTTTCCTTGATAACAATTTTTTTTTTTCAGGCATTAATGGGATAACCCACAATTTGCAAGGCTTGAAGATGTATGAAGGTGAACTGGTCCGATGGCATTTGTTGAATATGGGAGGGCCAAAGGACATTCATGTTGTTCATTTTCATGGGCAGACTTTTATAGAACAAGGAGAGCCAAAGCATCAGCTTGGTACATACACACTCCTTCCAGGTAAGTATTAGATTGGAATAAATTTTACTGTGTGGCCATTATAATCTGTCATTATTATATCAGTGTAAGTGCGAGCAGAAATTGTTTTGGGACACAGTGGCTAAGTGTGAGCAGTAACAATTTTGTGAAGGATGATCAGAGGGAAACAGAGTTCTTTCCCACAGTATTAAGTGAGGTACGGAGGGGAAACGAAGAGGAATTGTTCTCCTCTAAAACATGAGATACTGGGTAAATTTAGGGAAAAAACCTAAGTACTTGGACAAATGTTCCACTCTTACATGGGAAGGGATGTAAAAGGAAGATGGATGGCAGTGTAGTCTATCACACTAACTTCTGTGGTGCACTTTGCTCACTGCCCACTAAATGCATGGACATGGGCAGGTTTCTGTCCTTTATTGCATCTTTGTTTTCCTATCCAAAATGCAACATTATTTTTTGCTTTATAACGTGCTTGACTGTGAAGATCAGTATTAGAAAAAAAACATGAGCTGGACAGTGTTTGCCACCAGTTCCTCAGGAAGTGATGGAAGTGCTGTAGTGCAGCCATAATTTCCATGCCTCCCCAGGCATGAGGACCACTGGAGTCTCACCAATGTTTGCTGGAAACAACTATTGATACTTGACTTACTATGGTGCAGACTTATTTTTAGAATGACAAGATCAATGTGGCACAGAACAGAAAGAACAAATGCCAAATCTGAGAGAATTTTATTGTCCATGGAGGAACAAAGCAGACTAAAATCATTCAGTAGGCTACAAGGTTTGATTATTTGCCCATTATTGTCATCAGGGTGAGTTTGTGAACTGAAGATATTGGTCTTGGCTTAGAATTAGGATAATATGATTTTACTTTAGTTAATGTTATGTTATTTTATTTGCTATTTAAGCCTTTTAGACTTTTTTTCCCCCCGCTGCTCTAGCATCCCTATGTGTTTGACTTAAAGGAGATTCATAATGTCTGCAATAACTGGGAATATAAGAAAAGCAGCAAAGCATATGTTGTGCTTGCTAAAAAGTACAGMAAACACAACTGAAACCATATTAGCTTCTCACTCAATCCTTGGCACTCTTGCAACATGCAGGGCATGAGGGGAGGGCCCACACATCTGATCACATCAACGGTTAACTCTTCATATATTTTTGACTGCTTTACATAAACCATCATTTAGGCTACATGAGCAACACATTGGAGCACCAGGAGCAAGTGATTGTTTTATTAACACAAGAATATCTTACAAGAATTAATATCAGCACAGTGTGAAAGAAACGGAATGGTACTGTTCATTACATGGCTGCTCAGCACTGTATTCCATGTGAGGGCATCTGCTGTTGCATATAACCAAGGCTGTACAGCAGCAGCAAAGGTCAAGTTTTCATCCGGTGAGGTTTGATTCCACTCTCTTTCTCCAGCTACATTTTGCTTGTAAAGAAAGGAAGGACTGAGATGATGGTGGCTGTTGCTTACTCTGAAATGTGTTGCTGATCATTTATTTTTTTCTGGGTCATGCCATAGGATGATCTCTGGTTTAACATCYGCTGCTACTATCATATACCTTCTGATAACACTAAAACTTCTGATTCATTTCTTTCTTCTGTTTTTTCAAGGTTCATTTCGAACAGTTGAAATGAAGCCACAGAAACCGGGCTGGTGGCTTTTAGACACCGAAGTGGGGGAGTATCAGCAAGCAGGAATGCAAGCATCCTATATGGTTATAGAAAAAGGTACTGAACTATGGTATTTGTGCCTGGGGGACTCTAGCTCTAAAGTAATCTCTTCTCTTTCAGGATCATTAAAACTAAATTTGGGAGGTTGCTCAATAAAAAGAAACTTTAATCTTTTTAAAGTCAAGAAACTTATGTGTGTTTCCAAAGAGTAAGTGGGGTGATTACTGGAAGAGAAGCATTCAGTCATTAGCACATTACCTTTGAACTAGTAATTTTTCTTGGATGGACTGGTGAATTGAGCTGTGGAGAAGAATTTCAGAGATTAATTTGGCCTTCCCTTGGTGGAGTGGAAAAGAGATTATGTTAGAGTATTACAAAGAGATGTTCTGAGTGGTGTTGCCTTAGAGCTTTCTGCCAGAATAGCAGAATACATATTCAGGTGCAGGATTCATTCATAACAAGATCMCTGTGCTGTCTCTAGAATGCAGGATTCCAATGGGGCTTGCAAATGGACTTGTCCTGGATTCACAAATCAGCGCTTCACATCATGTGGGTGAGTTAACACTCATGAAGCTCCAGACATGCTCCTGAACATGCTCATGAACAGGCTTCTGGCATCTCATGATACATATTGCTAAATCAGTTCAGCAGTGAATCAAGTGATTTAAAAGCTCTCCAGTTCTGCAGGCTCAGAATCTGAGCTGTCCTACAAAGCCTTCATAATTGTGTTCTAACAGTGTCCCAGGATGTGTGACACAAGCATGAGTGTCAGAAAATCCTCTGCTCATGTTTGCTGGATGACCTGGAACAAATCTAGCTCTATTATTTTGTCCTTTGGGTTCCCTCCTTCAAAATCAACACAGTGTTCAAAAGGCTTCTGAGATGTGACATGGCCAAGCATGCAGTATGAGCTATCAAAGGGTGAAATTTATCCTTTGTGAGAGGTTTGTGGAACTGGCTTCCAGAGCAAGGTCAGAGTTTTTGATTTACAGAGTTTACTCCTAGTATAAAAGTGGAATCATTTGATAGAGAAATTGATAGAATTCTACATGGGCAATAACAAATAAAGCTGTAAGGAATGCATACACATGCTGAAATACCTATCCTTTCCCTTGAAATTACAAACAAATCACTTATTTTAGAAACTTTCTTTATTTCAGGTCCTCCCAAAGTGTTATGAAGACTTGAAAGCTGTGTTGTCAAACATTTTGGATATCAGAAATTGTTAACATGAAAACCTTACGCAGATGGTTGAACTCTGCTGTCTATGCAGACTACATTTTGTGTCTGATCCAGCTTGCCCTAAAACTTGTTTAGAAAGCTTGAAAGCCTGGTTTTACTGTAGGCAGTACATTACATAAAAGGCTGCTATTTCGAAAGTCATTTTTCTGATTATAAAATATTGTAAGGCAGCAGTTGACTTTCAGTCAATTGTAAAGCAGCAGTTGTTGACTGTCCATATTAGCTCATGTGATAGGCTTGGACTCTCCAGGGTTTTTGTGTTTATTTTTTCAAGCCAGATCTGAAAAGAATTGAAGCATTCAACCTCAGCAGCCAGTTACAACCTCCATCTTTTTTTTTTTTTTCTTCCAAGCACTCCTATTTACAACCTTGTTTTATTTGTATTTTCTGTCTAGACTACTGGGAACCCAAGCTAGCCAGATTAAACAATTCTGGAACCTATAATGCCTGGAGCACTGAAATGAAAGAGGATGAACTTCCTTGGATTCAGGTATGGTTGGTGTACATGGTTGAGCCTGGACAGTGTCTAGACAATGCTATCTTATCGTTTTCTGGTACCTTGTGTTAGAACATCAAGTCTTTCTTGCTCTTGCCTGGAAGGCTGTTGCAGAAAACCAAAGATGCAGCATGTTTGATTGTGATACCATAAACTGTCCTCTCCCTTGGAGTAACCAAAGCTCTATTGCTTCAGTGGTTTCCCTCACAGCCTAAGCTGTAACTGATTTGAAGACAATTGGAATAATTCCTGCTATTACTTTTCTTGCATATTTATGCAAGTTTTCTGTGTGATCATCCAAAGTGAGATAATACTGTCAAGCATTGCCTCAGGTTGAGTTAGGGGAGGTGCTTCTGTGTCCAACTCAGCACAGCATAACCTGCCTTTATGGGGAAATGAAGCTCATATGATTATGGTTTCAAGCAGTCACCTCGCTTCCTCCACCATTGCAGTCAGCTTTGCAGCAGATAACCAATTCCAACTAAATTTAAGGAAGATGTTTCAAAGACAGTTAATTTCCTACAAGTCTCATGAACATTGGCAGCCAGGAGAGGAGAAAGAGTCAAAGTAGTGTGCAGCTCAAGTTCAACAGGTAGCCACTAGATCTGTTTTTTTTACTAACCAGTCAGTTGACCTGTTGTGGTTGGCCTGATGGGATCTGTGGGACTTGGAATTGGTCACCAAATTGTGCCTGCTCTCACCCAGGAGATGGTTGGTGGACACTTGGGAGGAGGGAGAGAAGGTTGAGGAAATCTGGTATGGAATGGGAAAGGATGCTGGGAAGAGAGAAGATTTCCTAGTGGATGGGGTAGTGGGGAGCTGAGGCTGATGCATGAAAGTGTGCAGAGACATACTGGGCAAACTGCCATCAGCAGCAGAAATCATTCTTAAGTGTATCTGGCTGTTTTGCTTTTAAGTGCTAAGTGCTTTAATCTGATTCAGCAGAAATTGTGACTTCTCTGCCCCTTAAAATAGCATATCCTGTTTCTCAGGCTAGATAGCCAAAACTAGAGGCAGCTTATGAAAAAGTGAACCTTGAATTTCCTTCTACTCCTTTTCCCTCCCTCTGTAATATGGGAATAACAGTTCTGCCCACGCAAGGGCACAGGTATTTTGAGGTATCTTTGTAGATGAACACTGTAAAATGGCTTCTGGCAGTAAATGCACACACCAGTAAATGCACAGATGAAGCAAGAGAGATGAGGAGAGCATTCTTTTGGAATCTGGCATCTGCCTCTATTCCCTCTGAGAACATTAGTGTTGTGACTGCCAAAATGCAGAGCTCAAAGCTATTGTGTAAATGCCAAAAACGAAACCATTTGCTCTGTATGATTTTGAATTTATGRTCACTCTGCTGTTTCTAGGTGGACTTTCAAAGAGAAGTTCTAATAACTGGGATACAGACACARGGAGCCAAGCAGTTCTTGAGGTCCTTGTATGTCCAGAAGTTCTTCGTTGCTTATGCCAAAGACAGACGGAAGTGGTTCACCTTCAGAGGGGAGAGCTCTGCCCTACAAAAGGTCTGTGCCTGCCATGGGGACTGCAGTAGCCCTGGTGGCCTCGTGGGATGATGCAGCAGTGTGACCCTTTTATTTTACATTAAGAAATAATGGAGAAATTAAGGCCTTTAGGGACTGGATGATGCAGCTGGAGGCTCCAGAGGATATTTAATGGTCTAATCGGATTCAGATCAAAAGACAAATTGTAAGGGCAGGAGCTTCCTAGAGTGGGGGTTTCATTGACCCTGTGACCTTGACTGTAGAGTCTGAATTTCTAGCAAGCATCTCCCCCCCTCTCCCCCCCCCTTTTATTTCCTAAGCCCATTTCATTTTTTTGAAGCAAGCAAGAAGCTGAGCTAAAAATTAGGTCTACCTTGTTTGGAAACAGATCCTTCTGCCTTTCCCTCCCTTCTTCCTGTTACAATAGGAATTGCTGAATTTTAAACTAAGTTGAATTTTAAACTGTCCAAATTGCCTTTTGAAGTCTTGTGTACTAAGTATAGGCTCACTTTAGAGCCAGGCATGCCACCCCTGCTGATGATAGCTCAATTCCATTTACCCTGAGGTTTCTGGGGGAGGTAAATCTTCCTACAGATGTATATAGTGCATAGCAATGGGTCATTTATTTGAACTAAGGCCTTCAGGCAGTTCTAGGTATGCTGAGATAGAACCAGCAAGTTGTAACCAAAGCTGCTGTGCAGTATGGGCCACTCCGCCGCAGTGGATGGGGTTAATGGCATAAACAAATTTACGCTATTATGTATGCTTTAAAGTAACTCTATGTGGATTTTTTTAATAGGTTTTTGAAGGTAATTCCAATGCCTATGGGATAAAAGAGAACATTATTGATCCACCTATCCTTGCTAGGTATATCAGAGTGTACCCAGCACAGGCATACAACAGGCCTACACTGCGCATGGAGTTCCTGGGCTGTGAAGTGGATGGTAAGAGTGGGTCGAGGGCCGGGGTCTCCTTCCAGGCTGCCTTTTAATCTAATACTTTCTCTGGATGCACTTGGGCTATTAAAAAAAAAAAAAAAAAAAAAAAAAAAATGTGGTCATGTGGGAGAATGTGATGGGAGATCCTTCCTCCCACTGCTCCCAAAGCACTGATGATGAGGGAGATTTATCTTCAAAGGAGCAGGGTTAGAAACAGCCCAGGTACTTTGGAGAGCCTTCCCTGAACAATTGCATGCCTAAGCATTTAATTCGACTGCGTTGCTAAATGTGTTTTTAGTACTATCTGAGAATAGAAAGATCCCCTTCTGGAAGCAGATTTATTGCTTTCCCTCTTAGATTTAGCTGTCATGGCTTTACTAAAACTAAGCAACTCATGTAACATCTCGCTGAAAGATGACCTGATTTCAGTATAGAGCTTGGGGAACGAAGGCACCAAGGGGAATGGCTTGAGTTTGATTGCTGAGCACGCCAGCCATTAAGCGAAGCTAAAACTGTGGGTGTTCTCAGTTCCAGGACTGTAGCTTAGGCTATGGCCACTCACATGAACTGGAGATACATGATGGTTCTCTTAACAGGCTGCTCTGTGCCGCTTGGAATGGAAAGCGGAGAGATCAAGAACAGCCAGATTACAGCCTCCTCTGCCAAGACCACCTGGTTTAAAGTGTGGGAGCCCTTCCTTGCTCGCCTCAACCAGAAAGGAAAGCTGAATGCCTGGCGTGCCAAGGTAACGCCTGAGGAGGAAAGAGGGATAAGGGCAGAGCAGCCGTTAGTGAATTTGTGCTGTCTGTGTGTTCATGTGCTTCCTGCACGCTGCGTCTTGTACTGTTCTATAGCAATCATTTGCAGAGAAATCTTTGCAGAGAAGCCCATTCAAGCTCTTGCCACTAGAAACCTTGCTGGACTTTTGGCAAGTGCAAAAAAATGACATTTGGAGAGCTGGATGGTGTCCTGTGGGCCAGAACCTGAAGTACTTCCCTGCAAGGATAGTCCTTTTAATTTCAGGAGATTAATACAAGTTGAATATTTGGCTCTGAGGGATCAGAAAAAAATCTTTGCTGGCTTGATTTGTAGGCAGTGCAACTTAGTGGATAGTATGTGAGGCTGCAGATTTTGTCACTGCTCCACTGGGTTCAGCAAGGCATAGGAGCTCCTGTGCCTGCCAAGAGGAGTTGCATTTCTGTACAATGCACCCTGAGTCTTCTTAGAAGCTACTGTTTTCTATAAGCTTTCAGTATTACATATTGCATTATGTTTATGGCTTTGTTTTGATGCAGCTTTAGCAATCTTTCAATAGAAACGTTCACTTATGCAAATAACAACACAGATACGTTTGTTAATGTCCCCTCCTTTATCAATTGTAGTCAAACAACAACCAGCAGTGGCTGCAGATTGATCTCCTCACCATTAAAAAGATAACTGCAATTGCTACCCAGGGGGCCAACTCCATGTCTTATGAGAACTTTGTGAAATCCTACATTATCCTGTACAGCAATCAAGGCTCTGAGTGGAAATCCTACACAGACGGTTCAAGCACGGTGGCAAAGGTACTAGCCTCAACCCAGACTATTCACCCATGCTTGGTGTAGATTCTGACCTCACTCAAGGCCCCAAAGCAGAGCTCAACCAAAAAAAAGACATTCTCCCAGGACTTGAAAATGCTAGAGAGCTGAGGGAGTTTATTTCGGGTAACTCCAAGATAATCCRTCCGATTTTGAACACAGTAATTTACAGTAAGAAAAGTGCTCCAACTTTGTAGGGAATGCAGTCAGCTTCGTCATAAGAAGAAATTTGTGGCATTAGGACATTGAATTGGACATTTGAATTGGGCGCGTAAAGGATTTCTCATGCCCTCCTCTCAGCTTTTACATACATACATATTTAAATAGGTATGTATGTGTGTATATACATGTGTAAATACAATTCATATTAGTAGACAGTTTTGTTGTAACAGAGCTCCAGAAACCCACAGAGCAGACAAGTACTTCGTAGCACTGTAACCCATGTGGCCCTATGGCAACCCGAGCCACAAGGGCTGTCAGCAGAGGTAAGATAAGGGAGGGTTGTTTTTTGTCTTCTATCCAAATTAYAGTGACAGGGTTTTGCTGTGGGTAAAAGCAGAAGCTGTTTAACTCCTCCAGACTCTGATATTGATGGTTTGAATTTGCTTTGAATCAGGAATTTTGGAGATTAGATTTTATTTAAAACCCAAATAAGCCAGGCTRTCTACATGGCATGGCTAATACCACAGTTTGGAACCACTTTAAAAAGCAAAAACAACCATAAAATGCTGCCTTTTAACTAACGGTGTGCTTGTGCTTTTGCAGGTTTTTACGGGTAATGAAGACAGCAGTGGGCATGTGAAGCATTTCTTTAACCCACCTATCATGTCCAGGTTTATCCGCATTGTTCCAAGGACATGGTATAACGGGATTGCCCTTCGGGTGGAACTCTTTGGCTGTGATTTTCCTGCGGGTCTGGATATTAAACAGACTGATGAGTCTGGGGGCAATTAACCTTTCTGCAGTCATCATGAAGAGCAATTTTTTTTTTAACCCTTTAAAAGATCACACTTAGTTGTTTGGATGTATGCATCATCAAAGGAGCTAAATGTTTTGCAAGCAAGAACTGGGAGAGATTTCTTTGTCATTTTTTTCATTTCTATAAACATACACTTTTCCATAGAAAGAAGTAGCCACAGTCCTTTCTGGTTTGAATATCACTTCTTCATCCTAGCAGTAAGCAATAGTCTGTCTTGTTTTTAACTCTGTTCTGAATTCTGGATCCTTGGGGAGGAGCTCTGGCCGCAATCCTGAGCGCTTCTCACCCCTGTTTCGTAAAGCTTCTCAGCACAGGCGTGGAACGGAGGGTGAGAGCGCTCCCTGCACAGGTTTGAGAATCAAAAGCGGTGCAGATAGGGAGCTGAGCCACAAAAACGCAGCAGGGGTGGCCTGGCCCCTCCGCATCTGGCATCTGCACCGYGATGGAGCAGGAGCACGTGCCGGGATTGAGGTAGACGCAACCTTGGCTCACACTGTTGGTGTGATTCTTACCTGCCGAGCACCCTCGAAATGCTGTGGGTTTCCTAAGAGCAGATCTTCGGTGCCTGGCAAGAGCAGGGGGTGTCACTTATGTCTGTCTGCTGCTGAAATGAGAAGTGAAGTAACGTAGCCCTGATGATGTTGAGAAATGGCAAAAATAGAAGCAAAATAAGAATCTGGATGTCCTGACTTCCAGTCCCACAGAAATTTCTGGACCATGGGGAGGGGAATGAGAGCTGCCTCGAAAGGAAGAAACTGAGAACCTGAGAAGTCTGGCGGGAATACATTCTAGCTGTGGCAGGGAAGGATTAGATGAAACTGGGTAATAAAACCACCTGCATCCTCCTTACTGTTTAGCCCTGACAGTGTTTTCACTGATGGAGCTACTAAGGTGCAGAAAATGTAAATGGATTTTCCCAGAATGTTAAACATCGAGCAGAAATATGTCCGRTTCCTGAACTCTTCGTTCCATCTGACTCTCAGCCAAGCGCTCAGCAGTGCCCAGGGCTTCTGCCCTGTAAACCGTTTAGTTSCCGTCCTTCCCTTTATCACGCGAGGCGCCCTCCAGCAGCACCAAATACCTGGTTGAATAGTTTGCCTYTGTACCTTCCAGAGTGTTATTTTCAGTACTTTCAACTTCTGTGTCTAATAAGACTGTGTTATTACAATGAAGGTAAAGAACAGGAATGAAAAAGTACAAAAAAAAGAAATGAATGCTTTTCCTTTTTTAATGTGTCACAAGCTGCTTTCATTTTTCACTGGAAAATAAAGATAACATTCAGCATGAAAAAAAAAMCAATAGCATTTTAATCTGTATATTTGCACTGACACTAGTACCTCTATGGAAAAAAAAATAGTGAATTTCACATTACAGTAGAACAGCTTCTTCATGACAGTAAATTTCAGTGCTAATTAGAATTTCGGATTATGAAATTATATGAATAAGTGCTTTTAAAAGAGCAGTTGCTTAATATTTTTAGTAGTGCTTAATTTATTTTTGATACACCCATAAAATTGCATAGCATGCCCTATTCACTAAAAGAAGAATCCAAAGCCAATCCAAAAGAAGGTTTTAAACTAGAAAACAAGTAACAAATATTTCTTAACTTCAGCAGAAACAAGATTTTGTGTGACCAGTGCTAACCAATTTGTGTCTAATAAGACCCTGATCTTAAGTTTTAAATAATTAGTTCATTATATGTAAAGATAGACAAATGCTAAGCTGATTGAAGAAGCAGGTCCCAAGTCATCTGCATCAGTTTTACAAGCTGGAATCTGCTGCTACTTGCTAAAGGATAGGGCTTAATTTTTTTGTTTGCTTAATGGATGTATTTTATTAAAAATGAGAGATAAAATTCTATAAACAATTTTATCTCTTAAAGGACAGGAAAAAAAATCAAGATTTTTTTCATAATTTTCCATAACTAATACTTTCATTAAAATGACATTTGTCTGGTATACTGTGTGTTTTTAAAATATTGATTTTCCTTTTTTACTTTTTTGGTCATGGCAGACAGCAAGCCAGAATCATTACAGATTTACATTTGCCCTTGTAGATATGTAGATAGCTGTGATAGCTGGCATGCATGTGAAAATGTGGCATTTTAAGTGATGAGATGAAATTTTCTATTTAGGGTATAAGAAGCTGTAGCTGATATGAGTGGCATTCACTCAAATTATTCATTTTTAAAAGGCATTATTTGAAGGATTTATAGGTTAAAATGAAAGGACTTGCAGAAAGTTGTGATACATTTGTGACAAAAAACATAAGGCCATATTTTAGATAAAAAGAAATTGAAATATTTTTCAATGGGAAATTGTGAGATTTTTTTATTTATTTATGCTTTTACTTTTTTGCGTAAGTAGTGTAATGTCTAGTAATGCAGAAGATCAAAAACATCAAGAACGCCGAACTCAGCCATTTTGAATGCACATATATTCTAGTAAGTCAAAAACAAACAAACTGTAGAAGTCGTGGGTAACATGGGCTCATCTGAGAGATGAAGAACATGAGCTTTTTTTTTTATGAAAAAGAGTTTGTAACAGTTACATTTTTTTTTTTCTTGGCTATGGCAAACTTACTTATTTTATGCCTTTTCTACCAAAATAATTCCAGATCATAGAATTACAGAATCCTTAAGGTTGGAAGGGACCCCAAGAGATCATCTAGACCAACCCYCCTGCACACGCAGGGTCACCCAGAGCACATGGCACAGGATTGTGTCCAAGGGAGTTTGGAAGATCTCCGGAGAAGGAGACTCCACAGCCTCCCTGGGCAGCCTGTTCTGAATTGTCCTTGGCAATCCTTGATACTGCTGCAGCAGAGCTGGTCTTTTCGGAAGGATCAACAGACTTGGTGTGTGTTTAGAGCAAGGAGGGCATGAAAGCAGTAGATGGTTCTCTCTTCTCCATATCGCTGACATAGCGAAGTGTGGTGGAGACACAAAGCTGCATATCCTCTGTGGATTAAAGTCAATGTTGGTCATGTCTCTGGATTCACTCTCCCAGAAACCTCCTCAGATGTGCATGAAAATTGAAGCAAAGGTGAACCCAAGCCCCAAGGCACTTCCCATGACACACGAATCACTATGTGTGCATAAGAAAAGGCAAAGGAATTGCCAGTGTGAAGTGCTAGGGGACCTCTGTGAAAAAATTTTTGTTACACAAGTTGGAATCTGGCCAGGACTCTAGCCAAGTATCATGCCTGGTGAGGTGCTCCCCCTGCTCCTGAAGCACTCCCCCCCTCCAGACTACAGGCATGGGTGCTTCCATCAGGATTTTAGGACTGTGCYGAAGTGCAACGGAGGGGCTGCAATTCCATGAGCACTTTCTTCTGAAAAAAGGACTGTGGGAGACGTGCATGTGGGAGGTAAAAGCTGTACTGTACATGTGAGCACTCCGCTGCCAGAGGGGACTGTGTTGCTACTTGGCGCCTGAGAAACAAGATGCAGCAGTGTCTTGGCGGGGCCAATTGCTGCTTTGAATTAGTGGGTCATTTGCTGCACTTAATTGGTGTTGGGTATTCTCACCACTCTCAATCCCATGTTTGTTGATTCATGCTAGCCGTGCATCATAACTAGTTTATCCACCCACACTTTCCTACCATTGCTGTGCCCACATTGTTGTGCTGTTCTCCATTGATTCGTCACACCCAGTACTTGCCTCATGCTTTAATTACAATAATTTCCCCTCGGCGGGGCCTCTGTCTTCCTGAATGTTTGTTTATATAGCCCTTTCCAAAGTGGGACACAGAACCACTCACGGGATTCCTGGGGACATCCATGGCACCCTGCACCCTGAATGCTTCTATATGTAATAAAAGTGCTGGGTAGGGTTTGCTCTAACTCCACCACTTCATTTTTCTTTATAGTGYCCACTATTGCAGCCTGTTTAGCACTTCCCATGACAATTTGTACCTCGCTGTCTCCTGCTGGAAGCAGACCTTCTTTGCTACATTATTTCTCAAGTCAGAATCAGTCAAGGATGAGCTAGAAGAGAAGGATGCCCAAGGCTGCATTTCATCTTCTACTGTTAGGTATAACCTATATTGTAATCATCCTTACTGTCAACTAATCACATGCATTTCAGAAATAATTTGCTTTGTTGTTCTCACTACTCCTGTTGGATCGACTCTGCACCCTAGTTAATGAGTCCACTTCCCAAATCAGAGAAACGTAGAAATCCCTTGCTGCCTTTTCTCACATTTGTGTGCCTTTGTTCCATCTATATTCAGCAAAGGGCAATCTGTTTTAGAGCCTGCTTTTGGCTGGTCTCCGAGTCAGTTGTGCCATGCTTGTGTCGTCAAAAAACGGCTTCACTTTTAACTTGCAGAAACTTTTCTCCAAACCATATAGAGTGACTTCAAGAGAACTTTTCTTGCACGTATGTCTTAACGGATTCCTCCACGTAAACTGAAGGCCAAAACTGGTTCACAGCTCTCTTCTCCATTGTGTTTTTATGCGAAACCTATCAGAGTAGGTGGTTTGGGTAACATGTGGCCTTAAAATCTCACTGGCTCTGAGACTGACTTGTGCATTTAGGTGACATTTGTGAAATGACTTGTGCATTTAAGTGACTTCCTTGGATCTCACACTGAATCAGACACCCTCAGAATGATCCCACCCTAGGTGTGCACAAAGGGCATGTTTGATCACTAAGGAAAGCAGCAACTCTGTCCTGCTGAAGGACTTGGTATGATTTTTTTTCTTCTTACAACATTCCAACAGCMATTTCTGACAAGGATTTGAACACTTGGAGAGTTCTGTGGAAATAGAAATTGCAAACTTCCTTTCTATAGGAGGAGGTTCCTTCTAAAGGGGTTGCACGAGGAAACCCAAATACCTCAAAGGCAGCCCTGAGTGGCCAAATAACCCAGCACACGTTATCAGCAAGGGGACCATGGAGCTGCATCCATGGGAATTCAGTAGTAAAGGCCCTGAGCAGCAGCAGGCGCTAATCTGAAGGCCACAGCCTCCATGTTGAGGTGAGGGTCTCAGAAATGCTCATTTCCTCCTTTGCACCTGCTTGGGCTTTTCTGCAGCGAAGTCAAACATAAATCTTAAGGGTCTGCTTACGTCTACTAAATTGGGATGTATAAGCCGGAGTTAGATCTGAACAGGGCAGCGACCACATGGCGTGTCAACACTCTTTCAATCAGRTGGTACCTTGACACACACTTGCACTGGCTGGTGTGATATTGAAAGAATTTATAGCACCATTAAGTATATGGAAGCAGCCTTAATAAAAAGCAGCTCTTTATCATAGCAATCATTCAAACTAGTTACACTTCTCTGGCAAGAGAATGGTTTTACCTGGAAAAGTGGTTTCATCCTGCACAGATAGTAGTCTCTGTAATACTCTYCACGTATGACTGGCAAGCTAGAAACAAGCTAACATATAACTCTGAAAGAAATCACGGCTTAGCGTGAACATAGATTATAAAGCTATTTTGGCTTGATAATTTAAAAAAATGGGGAAAAAAAAGGAAATAAAAATAAAGTTTTGAAGTTGAAGGTTAGCAATTTATTCTTTATTCTTCCTTATTTTTCCAATTTTCCTATTCTTTTTCCACTTAAAAAGTGGTGTCCTCAGCAATAGAGCAGGGAGCAGGCAAGATAGCTATTTTTTCATAGCATGTTTTCCATCTTGGAAAACAAMAAAAAAGTAAAGGTGGGAAGTTTTGAGGTTCTTTTAATTCTTTCTCTCTTTCTCTCTCTTTCTTTTCCCATAGAGTGAAGGAGCAGAAACAAAATACCATAAGGAAAACTGAGAAGGAAAGAAAGACAGCAGTAAAAATGCCCGGATTAAATGCTGATCAGGAAGCACTTGGAGAGCATGAGGGCCACGGGTGAGCCAGAAGGTGAAGGCTCTCCTGGGGCTGCCCTTGAGACCAGCTTCGTGCTTCCCCTCGGGGAAGGGGAGATGGGGAAGCCCTAGCGCGCGGCGGCGGCAGCAGGGGTGTCATGGGCAGCGCTTTCCCCTGCACTCGCCACACGACGCGCCC